GTTGTTGTTAAGTGCTATTGTGCCATTGAGTTGGTTTAGACTCATAGTGACCATGTATAGGGTTTCCAAGGCTTGAAATCTATGAGGGAGTAAAAAACTGCATCCTGTGACTTATTAATGTACTAAACTTAAAAATATCATACAACTTTTGCTCGTAAAGGAAATAGCACTGTTTTGATTTATCATTTTAAGTATGTATTGATCATAAAAATGTTTATAACAACAACAACAAAAAACCCTTCAAATTATATGAAGAAGTCTTAGGATCAACTATTTCATGTTCCACTGCATTAAATACTTAAAAAACACTTTTTTCCATATAAACTCTCGGTAGATTAAATCAAATTAAACATCAGAATCAGAATCTTAGAAGAAAATTAAAGCAGATAACTGAGAAAACCATGTCTGTAGAAGAGAAAGCCACCAATATGGAAGATATGTTAAAGGAAGAGGAAAAAAGTGTAAAGGTAAATAAAGTTGGTTCTAATTTTTTTTTTTTTTTTTTTTTTAATCACAGCAAATTTAGCAATAGTGAATTCATAAACTCTTGGGATCAGACAGTTGGGAGATCTTTTAAGAGGTTCAGCTTTCTGGTATGATCATAAGAATTGTCAGAATTATTTTGGGGTATGGTTTGGAAGACATTCACGACCTTTTGATTCTTCATCTTCTCCTGTAAAAGAGTGTGGCATCAACTGTCTTTCCCATAACGAGCTCTACTCAACTGGGTTTGACAATTCATTATGGCGGTCACACAGAACTCAGGGGTGATATTTACAGTTATGGGACTTAATAGGTTATTGGTTATATTTCAGGGTCAAAAATGTTCAGGGCATTATTCTCCTAGTCAGGACAGCCTTTCCTCTGCTGTGCCCACAGGTAGGCCTCTCTCAGGCCATCAACAGTTTGGCCTGGCCTCTGCTCTGCTCCAGCAATTTTACAAAGCTGATGAATGCCCAAAGGACACTCCACTCTTCAATAGACTCAGCCCAAGGGTGCTTCATGGGTCAGCCAACCATAACTCCCCAATTAAGTGCCTGGAGGCACCCTACTGCACAAACAAGCTTCCTCCCCAAAGGCAGTCAGCTTTATTTGCTCTGAGGGCCAGGAAATCTATCTCTTTGTCTTATGCCCTCGCTCTTGGTTCAATGGCAGGGATCTTAGGGTCCAAAGGACGTGCTCCAGTCCTAGCTCCTCTTCTTTGATGGTAGCAAAATCCTTCTTCTTCTGAGACAGCTCATTTTATAACCACATTAGAGTTCCAAGTTTCACAATTAATTCTGTTATCAATCACTCATTAATATAATCCATCATCATCTTCCCCCACCTCCTCTTAACCAGATTCATCAGGAAATAGTAGTATGGTGGGAGTTACAGAGATTATAGCTAAAAGAGACAAATGAAGTAGTTCACTGTACGGCAGCTCCACTTTCAGTGTTTAACTTCTGATTTTTTTTAAAAGTAGCTCCTCAATTCCTCCCCAGTGCCTAACAAGCCTTCATCCATGAAACATGTTGGTATATTGCATACGTCTTTTTCCAAGCGCCCTTGTTTTACAACTGATTTTTACCTGATTGTTCAAAAGTGTCAGATATTTAAAATGCTCTGTGAGAAAAAGAGCTATTTCACATGAACTTCAGGTTTTACAGTTTCAAATCCGTTCTAAGATTCGTCCATCTCATAAACAATTGTAAATCATGTAATTTACTAAATTAAATGAAATAAAAGCTCATTTTTTATGGTCACATTTTTCTCCAGTGGTCTACATTCATTGTTGGTATTTCTTAATCGTCTGTTTTCTCTTTAATGCCTGGCACCATTTAATGGAAACCAGACTCTTAAGAACTGTCACTGATAATTCTGGTATCTCCTTCTTCTGTCAATTGGCATGTTGGTGACATTAAAGCCAATTTTTGAGGAAGTGGAAAAGACTTAAATGACTTATAAATATGACCTGACATTGTAGGCACTACTTCTTGCCTTTGCTTCTTTTTTTTTTTTTTTTTTAAAGGAGGCTACTGAAGATGGTGAGTTTGTTTGCTAAGGTTTATATCACGAATGGTTTCACTCAGCTTCTTCAGTGTGCTGTTATATGTTTAAAATTCCTTAATGAAGTCAAATAGCAATCTCGAATCGATGATTAAACTATTAGGTAAATTAGTTAAAATCCTGGTGATAAGCACAGGATGAATCACTGACAATTGCTTGTTAATTAGTTGATAGATCATAGCTCCCTAATTAAGATCTATCTACCCACTCTTATTTAATGAGCTTTTTTTTCATTTAATTCCTTATAAAAGCACAGTAAAGATTGCTCTTTAAATTTAAAGAAAAGGATTGAAAGATAATTATTAAAATTTTTTTTTAATTTGAGTATCCCCTCACCCTGGAAGCATGATTTACAATTGCTTATGAGATGGACCAATCTTAGAACGGATTTGAAACTGTAAAGCCTGAATTTGAATTTCATGTGAAATAGCCCTTTTGCTCACAGAGCATTTTAAATACCTGACACTTTGGAAGAAATTCACAGAATTCAAAAAGAAGAAGATTGGCAACATGTGTACTGATTGTCCTCTGGTGGAACTGTGTGCTCAGGATTGTGATTTCCTCTTGTTGGGGGTTTTCTTGCCTACTTGTTGTTAGTTGCCATTGAGTCAGTATCGACTCATAGAGACCCTATGCACAACAGATAGAAACACTGCCCGGTCCTGCACCAACCTCACCATCATTGCTACATTTTAACCCATTGCTGCTGCCACAGTGCCAGTCCATCTTGTTGAGAGTCTTATGTTATCCAGTCCTCCACTTTTCCAAACATGATATCCTTCTCAAGGGATTCATGCCTCCTGATAATATGTCCTGAGTATGAGAGACTAAGTCTGGCCATCTTGGCTTCCAAAAGGAACGGCTGTACTTCTTCCAACACAGATTTGTTTGTTCTTTTGTCAGTCCATAATACTTTTAATATTTTCCCCTAATACCATAATTCAAATGCATAAATTCTTCTGTGGTCTTCCTTATTCACTGTCTAACTTTCACATGCATATAAGATTACTGAAAATACCATGGCTTGGGTCATGAACATCTTAGTCTTCAAATTTACATCTTTGCTCTTCAATAGTTTAAAGAGATCTTGTGCAGCATATTTGCCTAAATCTGAATTCTTAATGGCTGCTTCCATGAGTATTGATGGTTGGTCTGAGAAAAATTAAGTCTTTGACAACTTCAATCTTTTCTCCATTTATATGGATGTTGTTTATTGGTACAGTGGTGAGGATTTTTATTTTCTTTACATTTAGGTGCCAAAGATTGTGGTCTTTGATTTTCATCAGCAAATATTTTAAGTCCTCTTCATTTTCAGGAAGCAAGGTTGTATCATCTGCATAGATTGTTATTGAGTCTTCTTCCAATCTTGATGCCAGATTTTTCTTCATATAATCCAGTTTATGAGATCATTTGTTCAGTATACAGACTGAATAAGTATGGTGAAAGAATACAACTCTGGCACAGACCTTTCCTAATTTTAAATCATTTGGTGTTCCCTTGTTCTGTTTGAACAACTGCCTCTTGGTCTATGTACAGGTTGCTCATGAGTAAAATTAAGTGTTCTGGAATACTCATACTTCACAGTGTTGTCCACAGCTTGTCATGATCCACACAATCGAAGGCCTGTGCATAGTCAATAAAGCACAGGCAAACATTTTTCTGGTATTCTCTGATGTCAGCAATGATATCCCTTGCTCCACATCAACTTCTGAATCTGGATTAAACCTCTGGAAATTCTCTGTTAATGTATGGTTTCAGCTGATTTTGTATTATCTTTAGCAAAATTTTACTTGCATGCGACATTAATGATACTGTTCCATGATTTCTGCATTTTATTGTGTCACTTGTCTTTGGAATGGCCACAAATATGGATCACTTCCAGTCAATTGACCAGGTAAATGTCCTCCGGATTTCTTGGCATACCTAAGTGAGTGGCTTCAGTGCTGCTTCAGTTTGTTGAAAGATTTCAATTTCAATTTCCTCTTTCTCTATTGGCTCTGGACAAATGATTTTTTTCTTTGAACTTCTGCTTCTGGACAGTCAGCATGTGACTTGGCATCTCTCTTTCCCCATCTCTGCTTGCCTAATCTGCTCTTTTTATCTCTTGTAAGGATTGACTCAAGAGACACCTTATAATAATTCTACCTCATCAATATGACAAAGAACTCATTCTCAAATGGAATTATAACTACAGACATAGAGGTTAGGATTTATAACACTTATTTTGGGGGGACATAATTTAATCTGTAACATTTTACCTTTCAGGCCCTCAAATTCATGTCCTTGCTGCATACACAACACGTCTATAGCATCAATTCATCCCCAATGTTTTAAGTCAATTCCAAGACCAAAATTTCATCTTCTGAATCATCTAAATCAAATATGGGTGAAACTTTAATGTAGTCTATGCTGGGACAAATGTCTTCTTTGTGTTGTGAATTTGTGAAATCTGTTTCCATTTGGTAAATCTGTTTCCAAAGTACACAAGGTAGAATAATCACAAGGTAGACATTTCCATTCCAAATGGGAGAATTTGCACCAAGCAAGTCCCAAATCCAGAACAAATTGCAATAGCTCTCAAGGCTTAACAATAATCCTCTGAATGGAATCCTTCTCAAAAGAGAGACCAGCAGGAAAAAGCCAAATATCAAGCATGACAATTTGATTGGCTACTACAAGAACAAGCAAGTTGTTCACCGGGGAGCCATCAAGGCAAATAATCAAGTCCCTTCAGGACAAACCCCTTTCTGAGACAGAAACTCAAAGAGAACACATAAATAGGCATGTAAGCTTGCTGGTGACCACTTTGGTCTGCTGGTGAGAGGAAAGAAAGCAATGAAGAAATAGGCTGAGTTCAACCACATTTCATAGACTCTTGTTGACCTAGAGATGAGAGAGAGAAGAGAAAGGGCCGGTTGATCTGAAGTGTAGTCAGACCTGGGGACTCCTGAGCCCATGGACAAAGACATAGTCACAGCGGGCTAGAGCCGAGAGTGAAGCATCTAGCTGATATGAAGTGAGGGCAAACTTGTATATAATATCCATTTGTCCTCTCTTTGATAGTTTGATGATCAGAACTCGACTAGAAGATTAAAAAAAAAAAGGTTTTTGATAAAAGAAACAAGTGTAAATTGCTACAATTTAATGAACTTGATCTATACTTATGGATGTAGTAGCTCAAAATACCAGCTGAGAGGGAAGGAGTCTTCACATCAAAGATCAGCCCTATTCCTTCTGTATAAGGGTTGATAGGGACGGGCAACTTAGACATTGGCTACCTAAAATGGGGGCGGGGGGCGTGTGTGTAAAGGCACAAAATGACTGCCTTACAAGTTTTCAAGACAGAGTTTCGTTTCAGAGTGTGCGGGCTAAGGTAGAATCCCCCACTGAACAGTTTTCATCTTGTCTAGATGGGTCT